AGATGGGGAATATTACCAAGACATGCAGGCCCACATGGGGGGAGCACCAGTGTCAGTCCAGGCGGAAGAGGGAGAGGAGGGAAAGAGCATTTATTTGATTTCCTCGACAATGAACTGTTGAGCCAAGAGTCCCTAGCTGTTTGTTTCAGACAGAAGAATCCCCGGGGTTCGGATTCCCACTCAAAGGTCACATGCCCGGTAGGGTGGTGTGCAGGAGGCAGCTGATCGATGATTCTCTCCCATCATTGATGTTTCTATCTCTCTCTCCCTCTCCCTTCCTCTCTGAAATTAATAAAGATATATATATATTTAAAAAGGAACAGATGAGGCAGGTGATCTGGCCTGAGGTTGGCTAATGAGAGTGATTTCAGCGGGCTCCTGGGTCCCCAGGTGCCTGGAGCCTGGCCCTGGGGCAATCGGGCAGAGAACAGTGTCCTGGGAAGTGGCTGGGAGTCCAGGCTGCTGGTTGCTAGGTTTGCATAGCAAAGGCCTGTGCACAGGCGGGTTCTTTGTTATCTCCAGGAAGTGGCTGGCCCGGTGGGGGGCAGGCCCTCCACTGTCAACAAAGCCCCAGATGTCAAAACACCACAAATACTGTATCTACAGAGGAAGAAAAAGGCATCCTTCATGCACAGAGCTCACAGCAGCTGGGGGCTGGATGAACAGAACTGGCAAGGGGACCTGGGCTGGCCACCAGCCGTGACCACTACAGGTGGGAAAGGACACGATATCAGGACAATCCATGTGACAGGACGGAGAGCCCGTGATGTCCCCTTGCCTTGCTGTCAGTTCCTGACCTGTACCTACAGCCCCGTGTGGCTGAGAGTGTCTACAGACTGTGCCTGGCCTGGGAGACGTGCCAATGGATAGTGATCACCGTTACTAGTTTACAATCAACAATCCTAGTGCCTCGACGTGTGGAAAACTGTTGGACATGAGCGACCCCCCCTAAGAAAGGGCAAGGGAATGCATGCTCGGTACCATGAAGCAAAGGCAATCTTTTTAAAATATATATTCTTTTATTAATTCAGAGAGGAAGGAAGAGGGAGAGAGAGAGAGAAATATCAATGATGAGAGAGAATCATTGATGGGCTGCCTCCTGCACGCCACCTACTGGGGATCGAGCCCGAAACTCAGGCATGTGCCCTTGACCAGAATCGAACCCGGGACCCCTCAGTCCACAGGCTGATGCTCTATCCACTGAGCCAAACCGTCTAGGGCCAAAGGCAATCTTTGGTCTTCAGAAGAAGAACCCCTTTGCAGATGAAGTCATTGGAGATCAGAGAAGGGGAGTGATATGGCCAGTGTCTCACAGATGGGAGGGAGAGGGGAGAGAGAGAGGAACATCAGTGATGAAAGAGAAACATTGATCAGCTGCTTCCTGCACGCCCTGCCGGTGACCGAGCCCGCAACTTGGGCACGTGCTGTGATCAGGAATCGGACTGTGATCTCACGCTCATTCCCTGAGCCACGCTGGCTGGGCTGGAGTGGGGTTTTCAATGAATGAGCCCACATCCATGAGTCCACAGCTTGAGTCCTCAGAGTTAAAAAAACAAAGAGCCTCAATCTCTGCTCTGGTGAAGCTCAGACATCTGCCAAAAGAGAGTCCCGCTGCAGTGACGAGGGTGTTCACGGTCGGGGCCCGTGGGACCGCAGGGCCGGGGCGCCCAGGAAAGGCCAGAAGCCGCGGGGCCATGGGCAGAGCGGTCGGGGAGCGGATTTTGCTGACTCTCCAAGGACCAGGCAGAGCGGGTGGAGGAAGCGCCTGGAAGACGCCAGCCTTGTAGAGGCAGAACGTGCAAAGCTGAGGGTGTGAAGGGCACGGCCTGGTGGGTGGCCGCTGGGTGTTGCCGGACCCTTCACGTCCGGCTGGACCCCGGGGGAAACGGGTACAGCCGTCCCTGGGAACATCAGCGAGGGGCGTGAGGGGCTCCTCTGTTTCTCTTTCCCTCTGGACCAGTGGTTCTCAACCTTCTGGCCCTTTAAATACAGTTCCTCATGTTGTGACCCCCAACCATAAAATTATTTCCGTTGCTACTTCATCGCTGTCATGTTGCTACTGTGATGAATCGTCATGTAAATATCTGATCTGCAGGATGGTCTTAGGCGACCCCTGTGAAAGGGTCTTTCGACCGCCAAAGGGGTCGCGACCCACAGGTTGAGAACCGCTGCTCTGGACGCTCTGAGGCTGGATCTATCTCCCTGTCCACCTGCCCCCTCTCCCCCTGACTCCGGGCCCTGCCGCTGCCTCCATCTCTCCCGTGTCCGGCAGAGGGCAGCCGCGGGCTGAGTGCCTGCGGGGCCAGGGACCAGCCCGGGAGTGTGGGCCGCGGCGGAATTCTCCCGAAGGCGGGGATTTGAATGGAGGCGCGGGCGGGCGTGGGAATTTGAACCCAGAGCCAGGGGAGCGGCTTCGATCCTGCACTGAGGCCTGTCACCAGCCTTTCTCCAGACCTGTCAGTCCCTCCCTCCTTCCCCCGAGAAGAGGGCTAAGGCTCCCCCGGGGCGAGGGAGGAGGAGGGAGTTGGGAAAACCGAGGGCTGAACCAAAGTGGGGGGAAGGAAGCAGGAAGCCAGCTGGGGAGTCCTGAGCAGCCCCAGGGGACCCCTGCACCGCGCTGCCGGGGTCACAGGACTGTGGGAGAATGCGCACTCAGACGTGGCTGCACTGAACATCACGCTGTCACAAACCACACAGCAGTTTTGAGTTTAAATGCACGCGCCGTGACCCAGCAATTTCACTTCTAATAATAGATCCTTAAAAAGTGATATTTGCCCTGGCTGATTTGGCTCAGTGGGTAGAGCACCGTCCTGGGAACTCAAGGGTCTCGGGTTCGATTCCAGTCAAGGGCATGTACCTTGGTTGCGGGCACATCCCCAGTAGGGGGCGTGCAGGAGGCAGCTGATCGATGTCTGTCTCTCATCGGTTTCTAACTCTCTATCCCTCTCCCTTCCTCTCTGTAAAAAAATCAATAAAATATATTTTTTTTAAAAAAAGTGATATTAGCCCTGGCTGGTTTGGCTCAGTGGACAGAGCGCCGGCCTGGGAACTCGAGGGTCCCGGGTTCGATTCCAGTCAAGAGCACATGCCGGGTTTGCAGGCTTGATCCCCAGTAGGGGGCGTGTAGGAGGCAGCTGAGCAATGATTCTCTCTCATCATTGATGTTTCTCTTTCTCTCCCTCTCCCTTCCTGTCTGAAATCAATAAAAATATATTATTAAAAAAGGTGATATTAGCATGCATAAAGATTTCCCACACTTCAGCCAATAGACATAAATGACAAGGACATTCTTCTTGGCATTATTATTATTATTATAATTATTTTTAATCCTCACCCAAGGATATGTTTATTGAATTCAGAGAAAGGAAAGGAGAGAGAGAGAGAGAGAGAGAGAGAGGGAGGGAGAGAGAAACATCCGTGTGAGAGAGAAATACGGATTGACTGCCTCCTGTACGTAGCCCAACCTCAGCGTACGCCTGTGTCCTGACTGTTGGTGTAGCGGTCGATGCTCCAACAACTGAGCCAGTGGCCAGGGCTCGTGGGCATTATTGACAGAAACGAGCAGCAGCAAACCGCCTACACCAGTGGTGCTCAACCTTGGCTGCACATGAGAATCACCTGGGAATCTTTTTTAAAATCCTGATTTCTGGGCCTCATCCTCCGGAAATTCTGTTTCTTTGTTACTAATGTTGTGGCCCCACCCCATCACAAAGGAACAGAAAGTTTGGGGGATTCCATATGAAAAAACACAACCACCACAACAATGACTTACATTTATTCATTTAATTTTTGAGTTTTTAAAGCTTCTTTTCTTTTTTTTTAATGGATGTGCCCCGCCCCGCCCCCCCCCGCCCCCCCTATGGCTCAGTATTTGCTCAGAATCCATCCCTTCATTACAAATGTGTCAGGCCACCCTCAGAACACATTACGTTCTCAAACTGGCTCCTGACGGTTCTAGGCAGTTCCTCTCATCCGTTTCCCCACCCACTGGGATCACACTGTTTTATTTATTGAGGCCTAACATGATTTTTTTAACATCTGGTAGAGCTGGCCTGGCTCGGTGCTCTCTATTTTGGGCATTTTAGAAGTGATTCTATTGGTTAACTTATCCCTCCCCTCACTCCCCCGCTCCCCCCTCGAAAGTGAAGCTTTTGGCCTCAAAATAAAAATGTGAGAGCCGCCCTTGCTGGTTTGGCTCAGTGGCTAGGACGTCGGCCTGCAGACTGAAGGGGTCTGGGTTTGATTCCGGTCAAGGGCACATGCCCGGGTTGCTGGCTCAGTTCCCAGTTGGGGAGGAGGGTGTGCAGGAGGCAGCTGATTAATGATTCTCTCTCATCATTGATGTTTCTGTCTCCCTTTCCCTCTCCCTTCCGCTCTGAAATCAGAACAAAAATATTTTTAAAAAATGTGAGAGCCATCTATAGACAGAATGGGAAGCCATGGGACCCTGCTGGGAGAACTATGGGCCCCGGATAGAACCTCGGGGAACGCCAGTACTTGGAAGAAACAGCCCGGGACCATGAACGTGATCTAAGAGCAAACTCGCGGCCCCAAGGGAACCACCAAGAGAGACTGTGCCAGCCGGTGGGGGGATGTGAGGTAGTCACTTGTGCATAAATATTGTGGGGCATGTGGACGGGTCACTCTTGCTGGTCCTCTTTGAAGCTGGGCGTGACCACACGACCTGCTTCAGTCACGGCAATGTGAGCAGCACACGTCCCCCCCCCCCCCCCCGTGCGTCCCCATGTTGGGAGCATGTTCCCAATCTTCACATTCTTTCCCCGCCTTCTCTTGGAAGGAAACATGGCTGCTCTGTGTGTTTCAGGTGAGCCTTCCCCAGGGCCTCCGCTCATTGGCTCCTGGCAGCGGAGGCAATCGGATGGTCTCTCTCAGGACAGTGAAACGGGCAGGGACTCCGAGAGCCTCTCGTAGGTCCTTGACGTGAGACTTGCCACACGATCCACCACCATCTCCGTGGTCCACCGTGACTGCTTGCGGGAAAGCCACAGGAGCCTCCTCGTGGGTCTCTTTGCCTTAACCTGCCTTAAGCCTACAGCCTCTTCTCCACGTAGAAGCTGGGCATGTTCACACAGAAAATCGGATCATGTCACTTCCATAATTAAAACCCTCTGATAATTGCACTTGGCCCTAGAATAAACCCAAAGTCCTTGTCAGCGTACACAGGTCTTTAAGGGTCTGACTCTGCAAACGTCCCCGTCGGCATCTGGCTCCATGTGCTCCAGCCACTGGCCCCCTTTCACTCCCGTGTGTGACTAGACGCCCCCCTGCCCCAGGACCTTTGCACAGGCGATCTCAAGTCAGATGGGGAAGTTCATGTTGGCCGCATTCGTGTCAAAGTCGCGAAGGTATCTGCAGACAGAGAATAGCTTGTTCTGGTTGTTCCCATTATCTGCGCTGCATATTCGCTGCCTCAAAACTTAGTGGCAGAAAACAGTCATATTATGTTCACAGAACCTGTGAACCGGGGATTTAGATATGGCTTATCCTTACAACACACTGTCGGGAGCCTCAACTGGATCGCTGAAAGTGATAAGCTGATTTGGACAACTGTGGAAGCGCCGACAGGCGTCTCACTAACATATCGGATGCTTGCGAGAGATGACCTGAAATCGGGCTCAGCTAATACTGTGAACCAGAACACCTACATGTGGCCTCTCAGTGACGCTGGGCTTCCTCCCAGTATGGCGGCTTCAGATAGTTTGATTTCTTACATAATGACGATGACAACGATGACGATGATGATGATGATGATGGCGGCTCCAAGAGTGAACGTTCTAGCAAACAAGCTGAAAGCTGTGTTGTGAGCGAGACCAAGCTATCCCTGCGGGACTGGCCACACAGAGACCAGGATGCTCCAAACCGACCTCCACGTAAACGCAGCCGCGCGAGAGACCTCGGCCAACATCGCATGCAGCTGAGGACCACCGGCCGGCCCGCAGGATTGTGGGAAATAATGAACAGCCGTCACTGAAGGCCACTCTGTTTTGCTATCGCAGCTCTGACAGCAGGGGCCCTGTCTGTTAGGTTCACCGCCACAAACGTTTACTGAGAGAATGAATGGACGCCCCTCCAGTTCACGGAGCCATGCTGGTCTCTGAGTTCTCAACAATACTCCTCCGGGGCCCTAGGCTCCCTGGTCTTGGAGGCACGCCAGCTACCAGCCTGTATGTCACTCTTGTGAAAACTGGAAGAAAGGTTCCCCCTCTGGGCGGACTAAATGGAAAAAAAAAGGAGCCCTCCAGGTAGGCATGGTCCCCAGGACGCAAGGCTCGGAGAGCAGCTTGCGGGCTCTCTTGAAGCCCCACCTGCCTTCGTGGCCGATCCCTTTGTGTAGTGAACAACGGGCACATCAGTTCAGGGCTTCCCTGCTTTGTTCTCGGCAGCCATCCCCCCTTCTTCCTGGGTAAGAGCACGCCGCTGTTCTCTCTGCAAGCAGCCATGCCCCTCAGGAGGCAGCTCACATCCTCGGCGGCGGCAGCGGCCAAGTCGTAGCGAGGTGAAGGTAAGCCAATCCCAGGGTTTCATCCATCTGGCCCTGTAACGGCTCAGTGGACGCGTGACACACTTCTGGCCAACGAGGTACGAGGGGCCTGTCTCACTGAGGGGCAGTGAGTCGCTGGAGCTTTGGAAAGTTTTCCTCCCTCTTCAATAGGGACCCAGGACGAGAATGAACCTGTGTCGGCTGCCTGGGGAAGAGGCTGTCTGCATGTGACAGTCCTGGGCGTGTGGCGGTCCTCTTGGGAGCGTGAGGGAGTCACCTAAGAGGAGATGATAGCAGCTCAATGAGACGGACAGAACTGGGGCCCGGGCGGTGTGGCTCAGTCGGTAAGAGCATCGCCCCAATGCACCGAGGTGGCGGGTTTGATCCCCAGTCAGGAGCACGTTCAGGAAGCAGCCAATGGCCCGGCCGGTGTGGCTCAGTCGGTTGGGTGTCATCCTGTGCACCAAAAGGTTGCTGGTTTGATTCCGGTCAGGGCACATGCCTGGACGGTGGGCTCCATCCCGGGTATGGGGGCGGGGGGATGTGCAGGAGGCAGCTGATCAATGCTTCTCTCTCACATCAATGTTTCTCTCTCTCTCCCTCTCCCTTTCTCTCTCTCAAAAGCAATAAAAAAATACTTTTTTAAAAAAGAAGCAACCAATGAATACATAAATAAGTGGGACAACAACTTGATGTTTCTCTCTCTCCCTTCCGCTCTCTCTCTAAAATCAATCAATAATATATATGATGGTAGAACTTGGGCCCAGGTGACATTGTTGAGCTGCTGACCTGGGGCCAGTCTGGTCACATGAATATGTTAATTAAACAACTTTGTTGGGCCCTGACCGGTTTGGCTCAGTGGATAGGGCGTCAGCGGACTGAAGGGTCCCAGGTTCGATTCCCGTCAAGGGCATGTACCTTGGTTGCGGGCACATCCCCAGTGGGGGGTGTGCAGGAGGCAGCTGATCGATGTTTCTCTCTCATCGATGTTTCTAACTCTCTATCCTTCTCCCTTCCTCTCTGTAAAAAAAAATCAATAAAATATATTTTTAAAAAAATAAATAAAAAAGATAAACAAGTTTGCTGGGACTCTGCTACTGGCGGCCGGAGGTATTCTGAGGCAAGAGGGAAGGGTGCCGGTCCATGTAACAGGGTGCTCCTCGGGCGTGGATCTGGTCTTGGGGGAGCCCGACAAGGAGAAGGGGGTGCCCAGGGCCGGCCCGTCTCAGGGCTTGAGCAGCGGGGAGAGGTCGGCGGCAATCCCGACCCACTCGGGCAGGAAGGCCGCCTCGGGCTTGAAGAGTTTGAGGAAGGGCGAGTCCGGGAGGGTGTAGTTGGCCAGGTAGACGGTCTCTCCGCCAGCCAGGTAGGCGGCCCAGATCCCGAAGGTGCCGATGGTCATGACGGTGTGGTTGCACTGCGTGAGCAGCGCGAAGTCCTTGGCGGGGGAGCCCTCCACGCCGTCGCCCGCGAACACCACGTCCCCCCGGGACGCGTCGATGTTCTCCCGGCACCAGGCCATGCCGTTGCTGGTGACCACGAAGACGGGGGCGGGGTGGCGGGCCCGGAACCGGTCCAGGGCCTGCTGCAGGTACCCGCGGTCGGCCACCACCCCCTTCCACACGTTGGGCATGACGTGCACGTAGTCCCCGCGGCGCACGTGGACGCCCACGAAGGTGGCCGGCCGGCTCCCGTTCACGCGCAGGCCCCGGAGGAACCGCTGCGCCTCCTCCCGCACGTGGTCGTGCAGCGTGAACTCCCGCAGGATCTCGGGGCGCAGGTGGTGGTAGAAGGTCCAGGAGCAGGGGTAGCCCGTGAGGCGCACGTACTCCCAGGGGAGGTGGCGGTACTGCTCCTCCATCCAGTCGTTGAGGGGGTAGTTGCGCCAGGGGATCCTGCTGGCCGTGGCGCCGTGCAGCACCGGCAGGGAGATCCTGAAGATGGGCGCCAGCGCGCTGTGCATCTCGGGGGGGATGAAGGCCGGCCGCCCGTTCATCTTGGCCAGGGCGTACAGCGTGGCGTACTCGCCCATCTGGTTGCCCAGGCGGCCTTGGGAGTTGATGGTCCACATGCCCCTGGGCGCGGTGCTTGGGGAGCTCGGGGCGCTTGTGGAGCTCGGGGCGCTCGGGGCGCTGGAGGCGCTGTCCTCGGTTTCCTCGGGCTCCAGCCTCCGGGCGGCCGACGGGGGCTGGATCTTCACCAGCCGCTGCTGAAGGTGAAAGATGGTGGAGGCCGTGAAGACAAAGAGGACGAAGTGGGCCATGGGGAAGAAGAAGGGCCCCTGGGTGCTGGGCATGGCTGTGGGCGGGAGAGCAGGGAAGTTAGCGGGGGCTGCGGGCACCTGGTGCGGGGTTGTGTGTGCAGACATGGGTGGGTGGGTGTGCCTGTGGGTTTGCTATATCTACACTAATAAAAGAGAAACATGCAAATTGGTGTCGCTCCCTTATGCCCACCAGCCAAACAGGTGAGCATGCAAATTAACCCAACAAGGATGGCAGTTAATTTGCATACGCAGGTGCGGAGCAAAGACTGAAGGCTCTTGCCAGAGTGAAGACTGAAGACTGAAGAGGCCTGGCTTCTCCACTGCGGCCGGACCAAAGGCCTGGGTCCCGGGTGCAAACCGGTGCTGGCAGCCAGGGGAAGGAAGGCCTATTGCGCGAATCTTCATGCAACGGGCTTCTAGTATACATATATATATATATTGATTTCTGAGAGGAAGGGAGAGGAAGAGAGAGAAACATCAATGATGAGAGAGAATCATCGATCGGCTGCCTCCTGCACACCCCCAACTGGGGATCGAGCCTGCTATCCAGGCATGTGCCCTTGACCAGAATCCAACCTGGAACCGTTCAGTCCACAGGCCAATGCTCTATCCACTGAGCCAAACCGGCTGGGGTGGGTTTACCTTTTGTGCGCATGTAAATGAGTGTAAATACTCACATATGTGTTTTCGGGTTTGTCTTTAGAGTGTGTTATGTGTGTATGTGTGTGTGTTTACACATGTGGGTACGTATGCATTGTGTGCGTATGCATGGTACATGCAGTGTATGAATACACATGTGTGTGTGCGTGTGTATATATATAGTGTGTGTATGTGTATCTGGGTATCTAACATCCTATCTAATAATAGACAAACATGGTAATTGACCGTACCTTCGCTACGCCTCCCATCGACTAATCAGCACGATATGCAAATGAACCCAACCAAGATGACGGCCGGAAGCCACGCAGCTGAAGCGAGCAGGAGGCTTGCTTGTTCCAGTAATGGAGGAAGCCAAGGTTCCCCGCCTGCCGCAGCCTGGCTCTGAGCTCTGAAAGCAACAAAGCTTCAATTATAGAAGCTAAACAAACCCCAGATACTTGCTTTCAGCAGGCTGTGGCCTCAGAGCTGGAGCGAGCAGGAGCCAGCTCTCAGCTCCAGTGACAGCAACAAAGTTTCAATGATAGAAGGTAAATGAATCCCAGAATTTAAAAAAGAAAAAAGAAAAAAAGTAGAGGCTGGGAGCTTCAGTTGCCGGCCAGCCTGAAAACGGCCCTCAGCCCCTCACCCAGACTGGCCAGGCACCCCAGTGGGGACCCCAACCCTAAAGGGGGTGTGACCAGCTGCAAACAGCCATCAGCCCCTCACCCAGGCTGGCCTGGCACCCAAGCGGGACCCCCACCCTGATCCAGGACACCCTTCAGGGCCAACCATCCAGCCCCCACCCGTGCACCAGGCCTCTATCCTATATAATATAAGGGTAATACGCAAACTGACCCTAACAGCAGAACGACTGGGAATGACTGGTCACTATGACACACACTGACCAACAGGGGGCAGATGCTCAATGCAGGAGCTGCCCTCTGGTGGTCAGTGCGCTCCCACATGGGGGAGCTCTGCTCAGCCACAAGCCTGGCTGACGGCTGCCAGTACAGCGGTGGTGGTGGGAGCCTCTCCTGCCTCCTCAGCAGCACTAAGGATGTCCAACTGAAGCTTAGGCCTGCTCCCTGCTGGCAAGTGGACATCCCCCAAGGGCTGCCGGGATGCCAGAGGGATGTCTGATTGCCAGCTTAGGCCCAATCCCCCAGGGAGCAGGCCTAAGCCAGCAGGTGGTCATCCCCCGAGGGGTTCCAGACTGCAAGAGGGCACAGGCCAGGCTGAGGGACCCCCCCCAGTGCACAAATTTTTGTGCACCGGGCCTCTAGTCTATATATATAAAAGCCTAAGCGACCAGATGACTGGCCGGTAGTTATGATGCATACTGACCACCAGGTGGCAGATGTTCAACGCAGGAGCTGCCCCTGGTGGTCAGTGTGCTCCCATATCGGGAGGGCCATTGGGTGCCAGAGGCCGGGCTCATGGCTGGCGAGCGCTGCTGTTGCGGCGCGAGTCTTGCCTGCCTCTGCCTCTGCGACAGCGCTACCAGCAGCCTGCGGGGATCAGGCTGAAACCAGCAGCCTGACATCCCGAGGGGTCCTGGATTGCAAGAGGGTACAGGCCAGGCTGAGGGACCCCACCAGTGCACGAATCCGTGCACTGGGCCTCTAGTTGTGTATACAGACGGATGTGTACATTGCATTGTATGGGTATGTGTCTATTGTGTACTCTGAAAGGGTTGAAGAGAATAAAACGGGTCAGAGAACACTTATTGTGCTCAGTGGACATCTTGCAGAAAGCTTGCAGCCTTGAGCACCGCACAGCCCCGATGACTAGACATCTGGCCCAGGGAGGAGCCGAGGATGGACCGGCCCCTCCCCTCCCCTCAGCAGAGCGGCTTGCAGCCAGAAGGACGAATAAAAACCTCTCTCTCCCTTCCCTCTCCGCCGATTCCCTTCTCAGACTCGGCCCAGCTGCACCCAGGCGCCTGGAATTAAATTTCTTTTGATACATTATGGCCTCGGGTCACAGGTGTGCAACCCCGGCCCACTCTGAATTTTTCACATACATGTGTGTGTAACACACAGAGAGCGTGCCGGTGGTTGGGAACACGTGGCTGTGTGTACATGTGAGTGTACAGATATGAGTGGACATCCATTATGTGCATCTTTAGTGTATGTTCACTTGTGTGTTTATAGCCTGTGGGGATACATATGTGGGTGTCTGTATATGTGAGCACACGTATATGAACCTCTATTTGCTGGGGATCCCACTTCTAGAGAGGCCTGTCTTCGCACGCCCTGCCACCTACCTCCCCTCTGAAGGGAAACTGCCAGGCCCACCCAGAACAAACCGCTTGGCCTGCCCGCCCTCCGGACACAGCAGACGGAGCCTGAGGTAGACACGCGGCTGTCTCCACGGCGGCTCCTCCATCATCGGCTGTGGCCTGTGGCTCTGTAAGATGACCTGGCCCATTCTTTATCTTGAGAATTTTTACTAAAAGGCTCAGAAGGCAGTTGGCACATGGGAGGATTCTTTTCCCCTCCTGATACCAACTGGGTGCCCAACAATTCAATTCAATTCTGACCCTATTTACCTAGAGTTCGTATCAACAGCCCTAGCTGGTTTGGCTTAGTGGATAGAGTTCATATCAGATCCCACGGGTCAAAGAGTTCCGTTCCACAAGACTGTCCCCAACTTCAAACACTGATCAAAAGTCCCGGGCCGCCCTAGCCGGGGTGATAGAGTGTCGGCCCGCGGACTGAAGGGTATCCGGTTCGGTTCTGGTCAAGGGCACATACCTCGGTTGCAGGATCTGTGTGCGAGGCAACCAATCGATGTGTCTCTCATATCGATGTTTCTCTCTGTCTGTCTCTCTCCCTCCCTTACACTCTTACTAAAAAAAAAAAAAAAAGAAAGAAAGAAAATCAATGGAAAAATATCCTCAGGTGAGGATTAACAAAACAAGCAAACAGTCCCGGGCCATTCATACTCTGACTGACCAGCTATAAATCGGGGTTCTCGTGTCCCCCTCCGCAGCGTTGAGAACTGGCTGGAGTGGCCCACAGAACTCAGCAAGGCCCTTGCCTGCCGTTTGTAATGATGAAGCACAGTCCGGAGAGGTACTGAGGGTGTTGGTCCAGAAGGGCCCTGCACCGGGCTCGGTCCTGGTGGAGTTGGGGTGTACAACCTCCAGGCTCAGGGGTGTGTGCACCAAGGCAGAGGCTCTCTGAGCCCCATTGTTGGGGTGTTTATGGAGGTGTCATCATGTGCACGTGAATGATTAAATCATCAACGGTTAGTGATTAAGTTGAATTTTGTCCAGCTCCCCTTCCCCAAGGTTGAGGGGTGGGACTGAAAGTTCCAGTCTTTCAACCACGGCTTGGTTTTTCTGTTGACCTCACCCCATCCTAAAGCTACCTAGAGTCCCCTTATCAAACAATAAACACTCCTATCATCCTTATCACTCAGGAAATGCTAATGCTTTTATGAGCTGTGCCAGGAACCAGGCTCAAAGACCAATCTCATTCATTCGCTGAGACCACGCAGAGCTGCTGGGCAGAATAGACTTGGGAGCTGGTAACCATGAAATACCCGAACAGACGTGCAAAGAATCCTCAACAGAACTGCAATTCCTGGCCCTGGGATCGCAGAAAAGCCCAGAGAGCTGAGCGATTACACAACCTGTTCTTTTCAACTCCGGTCACAGCAGGAGTCAGTGGCAGGAGTGGGGTGGTTGCCCGGCACAGGCCTCCCAAGAACCCTTGGGATTCGCAGGAGGTAGGGGCACTGAGAACTCCGCATCCTGGGACTTACAACTCAAACCGGTGGTTTGTGGAGTGAACAAGTCAATTGATCTGTCGTCTGGGAACCCTTAGGGAAAGTCAAAGGCCCCAAAAGGATGAGACTTAAAGACGCGGTCGCTGAGGCTAAGCAGAGTGGCTGTACGTGGAGTAGAGCAGGAAGGGAATTGTTCCGATCCACCATGATGTGGCCAGAGGCCAGCAAGGAGAAGGAGAGCAACTATCGCTTGGCATCATTATTTTATTTTATTTTATTTTATTTTATTTTATTTTATTTTATTTTATTTTATTTTATTTTATTTTTAAATATATTTTATTGATTTTTTTACAGAGAGGAAGGGAGAGAGATAGAGAGCTAGAAACATCGATGAGAGAGAACCATCGATCAGCTGCCTCCTGCACATCTCCTACGGGGGATGTGCCCGCAACCCAGGCACATGCCCTTGACCGGAATCCAACCTGGGACCTTTCAGTCCGCAGGCCGATGCTCCATCCACTGAGCCAAACCGGTTTCGGCATTTTATTTTATTTTTAATTTAATTTAATTTTATTTTATTTTATTTTATTATTTTACTAGAGGCCCAGTGCACAAAACTTGTGCAGGGGAGGGGGTCCCCTCAGCTCAGCCTGCACCCT